ATGATAGCATTATGAAGTGTATGCGCTACTTGTATTCACTAAAATGAGGGTGATACTTATATTTTTGGATTTTAAAATAGGGTATAGTGGCAGCAATATATATTTTTATTTAGAGGATAAAAATCTTTTTTGCATCAGGCGCGATATAGTTACATTTGGATAAATATTTCAAGGTGGTCACTTACAGAACATAAATATGAGAACCAGAACCTTCGCTAGGTGGGATTGATAATAAGGTTGGCAGTGCCTCCACCCAGGACAGGGCTACTGAACAGAAAGGATTTCCTTCCTGGAAAAATAACCAGTAATCTAAGCAAAGTAATTGGAAGCAGAACTGCTGCAACCCATATATAACATTAAACATAAGCATATAGAGCACACCAATATAGAAATAATACAAGCTTTATATAAGAAAAGATTAAACAGTTCATACATCCAATGTACAAACAGATATTATCAGCAAAGGGTCCCAATAGGAGTCCTGGTGAAATTGTACATATACCCGGGTATTTAGATATAGTTATAGAGATACCTCCACATGAATGTTGCAACAAAGTCTCCTTGCAGGGGCCCCTGAGGATGATGCTGCATCTGTCCTTGAGTCATTGACCTGAAGACAAGCAGTGATGAGGAGAACCTTCAGCCATTGCCCAGGCAGTCTGGAATGAAGTCCTAATTTTCTGACACTATGCATATGAGATAGTAATAGGACAAAGTGGGACAAAGATACTCTATTTGTCATGAGGATTCAGCAATACACTCATGAAGCTAGAGGCAGCTGCAGCGAAACTAATAGTCAATAGAAACACTTGCATAATCACCTCTTCTGATCTGGTATTAGTAGCATGAACAGAACATGTGGCTGAAACCTTCTCACTGGATCCTTTCCCAACAAGCCCAAGTCAAGAATTGACATAGATAATTTTACATTACAGTGTGATACTTGCAGCTGATTGTAGAGGGCAGTGGATTCCTACACATGGTGTGGGATGTCTATGTTTGTGCTGAACAATAAAGTTGATTTTACTCTTTGGAATTAGTGTGCATCCCCAGAACTTTGCATGGTTTGTGGATTAGAGGGGTCCTAGGAGAGGCTTCATTTGTATATTAGACAATTATGTATAACATAGTCTTGTGCTAAGTTCACACCAAATAGGACATTCCTCACAAGAAGTCCAGAAAAGTCTCTGTAACAGCATGATGGCAATGGACATGGCACAAATCATACAGATTCCAATAGTCTGTGGGTCAGGGACAAACCAAGAGCACAAAAATAAAGAAAAAAGGGAAACACAAACCCTAATACAGTAAATCAGTTTATTAGTAATAAAAAAAAAAAAAAAAAATCTTAAGATCCTGAGACTGCTCGGCTGCATGTGGGATGCCAATCCATACCTTGAGAGTGACCCCATCCCATTGGATTTAATCCTTTGCTGATATGTAGACAGGTGCAATTCATTTTGTTATGAATCAAAATTCAGACAAAATTTTTGTATGTTGGATGATCCGAAGTTCCGAATCACAATTATAATGAATTTCAATGAATCCTAGATAAATTATAATGAAACAAATCATTCAAATTCGAAAATGAGTTTGAAATGGAAACATATTACAATAAATACAGTAAGGTACACAAGTGAAATAAGATGATGATTCCTACTTAGGCTGCTTTATAGAATAGAATAAAATAGAGTAGAATCGAAAAGAAAAGAATAAAACAGAAGAGAATAGAAAAGCATAAAATAGAATAGAACAGAAAACAATAGAATAGAAAAGACTAAAACAGAATAGAATATATAGGAATAGAATAAAATTGAAGAGAATAGAATAGAAAATAAAATAATAGAATAGAAAATACAGGAATAGAATAGAAAATAATCGAATAGAATACAATAGAAAGAATAAAGCCATCTTGCGAAACTGAAATTTCTAAATTTGAATTTGAATTTCGAATAGGACAGAATAGAAAAAAAAAAAAAAATTATAATGAAACAAATCATTCGAATTCGAAAATGAGTTTGAAAAGGAAACATATTGCAATAAATACAGTAAGGTATAAAAGTGAAATAAGATGATGATTCCTACTTAGGCTGCTTTATAGAATAGAATAAAATAGAGTAGAATAGAAAAGAATAGAATAAAACAGAAGAGAATATAAAAGCATAAAATAGAATAGAACAGAAAACAATGAGAATAGAAAAGACTAAAACAGAATAGAATATATAGGAATAGAATAAAATTGAAGAGAATAGAATAGAAAATAATAGAATAGAAAATACAGGAATAGCATAGAAAATAATCGAATAGAATACAATAGAAAGAATAAAGCAATCTTGCGAAAACTGAAGTTTCTAAATTTGAATTTGAATTTCGAATAGGACAGAATAGAAAAAAAAAAAAGAATATAGCTGTCTTCTGGAAATCCAAATTGAAAAAATAGAATAGAATAAAGCAGAATCGAATAGAATAGTATAAAAGTATAGAATAGTATAAAATAGAATAAAATAGAATATAATAAAACTGAATAGAATAGAACAGAAAAGATTAAAAAGATATAAATAGAAAATAAAAGAATAGGATAGAAAATAGTAGAATAGAAAAAATAGAATAGAATAGAAAGAATATAGCTGTCTTCCAAAATTCGAATTTCAATTTAGAATAGAATAAAATAGAAAGACTATAGCCATCTTCTGAAATTCAAATTTAGAAAAAAATAGAATAAAATAGAATAGAATGGTATAAAATAGAATTAAAGAGAATAGAAAAAAATAAAATAATAGATTAGAAAATAATAATAATTTGAGTTTTGAATAAAATAGAATATAGCCATCTTTCAAAATTCAACTTTGTAACAAAAAAAAGAATAAAACAGAATAGAATAGAATAGTATTAAACAGAATATAAAATAAAATAAAACAAATAAAAAGAATAGAAAGAATAGAATAGAATAAAACAGAATAGAAAATAAAAGAATAGAATAGAGTATAGCCGTCTTCTGAAATTAGAATTTTAAATAGAATAGAAGCAGCAGTGGCAGGTCTTTATTACAGGACGCTCCTGCACAGATGTAAAGTTTTACACTGGATACTGCACAGATCTATGAGAAATACAAAGCACACCAAGATTCAATATGAATACACATAACAAATGTTTAAAGATCATTTAAAACCTGGCAGAGGTTTTAAACCCTCCTCATGCCATCATATACAAAAAGCTATAACCTCAAATTTTTTTTCAGGCTGACAGAATTCTGGACAACTGTGATCTAGATTTCTAAGTAACAATGACTGAGAGCAAACCAGTAGATATTCTTTGAATGTTTTCTCCAGTGACACCATATTAATAAAACTCTTCCCTTAATGTGTTCTTTCCTAGAGGTGCGTTGTCAGAACCAATTACAGCCAGTTTCAAAGAAGATGTACAACAAGGACAACATAATGAATGTCTTCATGTTGCTTGCAGAGGAGCAGAAACCTCCATGGCGGAATGTGTATTAAAGAGAGACACAGTCAATGAAAATTTGTGGGCGGCGGTCAATTGTTATAAAGAGAAAAAGGGTTTGCATCTTCTTTGTAGAAATAATTACTATACTTAGGCATATCTTCTGTTTACTGCTCATTTCATCTAGATAACTTTAGTTGTAGCAGAAAATATACCAGGGTTATTATGTAAGAAAGCAGAAAACTTAGAGTGATACTAAACCCAGGTCACTATATCTGGTCTCCCATATTACATACAACATGGAAATGCAATTATGTTAGTAAATATAAACCGCTAAATACATTTTCTCATCAGCAGTTTAGAGCAGTCTTGTGAGCAGGGGCGGACTGACAATTTAAAAACTCGGGCACTGCCCGAGGGCCCGGGGTCAGTAGGGGGTACCTTTTCATAGGCTTTTTTGGGTTTGGGCAAGGACACAGGGGCCCCATGATCCCCTATTGCCCGGGGGCCCCATGAGTTGTCAGTCCGCCCCTGCTTGTGACTTGTAACAGTGTCCAGCTCAGCACTGGTTAACTGCTTCCCCTCTGCCCTATAGCAAAAAAACTGCTACAGGGTGGCAGGACTGCACAAAATCTGCGCTGCCCTTCCTGCGCCACCATTGGCGGCTATGGCTGTCAATCACCGGTCCCAGCTGGAGATTCTACACCGGCGATCACTGAAGAACACTGACAGAGGAGAGGTCTGTATGTAAACAACACAGATCTCTCCTCTGTAAGCTCCAGCACACTGCTTTGTTTTACTCTGCATAGCAGAGCGATACAAAGCAGCATGCTTACACAGTAAATCTCACACAGCACACATAGTAAAACATGCAGCACACAGTTAACCCTTTGATCGCCCCAGATGTTAACCACTTCCTGCCCAGTTCATTAGTACAGTGTCTGTTTTTTTTTTTAGCACTGATCACTGTATTAGTGTCACTGGGGATGTCAGTGGCAGTTAGTGTCAGAATGCCTGCCGCAGTCCTGCCATAAGTCATCGATTGCTGTCATTACTAGTATTAAGAAAAAATGTATTGAAAATTAAATTAATTAATTTACATGTATTGGGATTTTTTTTAGCAAAGACATGTAGCAGAATACATTTTGGCGTAAATTTATGACGAAATTTGATTTAAAAAAAATTTTCTGGGCATGTTTTTATAGCAAATAGTAAAAATATTGTTGTTTTTTTTTCAAAATTGTCAGTCTTTTTTTGTTTATAGCACAAAAAATACAAAATGCTGTGGCAATCAAATACCACAAAAAGAAAGCTCTATTTGTGGGAAAAAAGGACATCAATTTTATTTGGGTGCAGCATTGCATGACTGCGCAATTGTCAGTTAAAGTAATACAGTTCCGTAATTGCCAAAAAATGGCCTGGTCAGGAAGGGGGTAAATCCTCTGGAGGGCAAGTGGTAAAGCTTGTAGGAGATTTCATTCTCTTCTGACTGTCCTATGAGGCTGCATAACTCCTGACCCTCTGTCTGGACAGTGCTGATTGGCCCTGAGCTAATCACATGCACCCTCCCAAAGAAAAAAGAAAACTCTAGCCATGCACACTAAACTGAGCATATGCAGAGTGACTCCTAGAGCTCTGTACTATCAGCAGATGGATTGCGGACAGTAGAAGAAGGGGAGGATCAGAGAAGACAGGATCAAACATCCTTTTTACACAATGCAGAGGATTAACCCCTTATGTTCCACAGTGAGTATAACAAGCATGCTTTACTGCATACAAAGACTGATTTTACTGTTGTGGATTTAGTAACACTTTAACATTGAAATCCCAGCAAAATAACTTTCAACACATAGGAAAAATGGGCTTCTTGTTTTGGAGTGTTCTTAAAGTTGAGCAAGCACAGTTACATTTTACAATGTTTGTGAGTTTACGTTATTAGAATACAGACATAAAGAATGCATTGTATTATATTTCAGATTGTACAGTTGATGAATTCACATGTGTGAATGGGAAATGCGTTCCTTTAGATCATGCCTGCAATGGGGAAGATGACTGTGGAGACCTCAGTGATGAACTGTGCTGTTCAAGTATGTATACATTTAGAAAACAAACAAAACATATACCATATATATAAAAAGAGCAAACCAAAATATCAAGTGTGGAGCAGAGAATGTGGATGTAGGTTGTAAACTATGCTTAAAGGAGAAGTATAGACAAAGCTTTTTTGGCTATACTTCTCCCATGGACCACAGAAGTGCAGTTATTGTAGTTCTACACTCCTGTGAGCCTGCTGTCGGCTGACGTCACAGAGCCCATCCAGGCTCTGAAAAGATCCTGAACAGAAGCCTGGACCTGTTCAGCCGCTCAGCAATCTACCAAGAGCCTGAGTCAGCCACTCACTCCCCCTCCACAGCCCAACACTCCAGTGTACACTGGGAGGGGCAGAGCAGAGAGCCGGAGACTGACTGTCACAGATCTCTGCTCACAGTGGAGGAGAACTGAGCGATCAGCAGTGTTTGATGGGTCAGTCCTCACTGCGTAGCCGGCAGGGGACATATGCAGCATCAGATTGATACTGCATCCACCTAAGTGAGTATAATGGGGTGTTTTTTTCAAAAGCCCATACTTCTATTTTACAGTGGAACTGAAGGCAAAACCTTTTTTTCATTTTTGGTAGAGCAAGGGAGGGTTATAACCCCTGTCAGTATCAGGGGTGTGAACAAAGGAAAAATCTGTTTCCTTTTGTTTCAGATTCATTTGTTAAGTTAATCATTTTGTTACATCATATTCGTTATGTTAGAATGATTTATTTTCAGAATTCGTTTGGTATATACAGATTCGTTTTGTATATTCATTATTTTCAAATCAATTCTAAATTAAAATTTGGGAAGATGGCTATATTCATTCAATTTTATTCTATTAAAGTCTATTCTATTTTTTTCTATTCTATTCTTCTATAGTCTACTTTATTCTATTCTTTTATTTTCTATTCTGTTTTATTCTATTTTTCCTGTTCTAGTCTAATCCCTTATTTTCTATTTTATTGTATGCTTTTATTGTCTATTCTATTTTAGTCTATTTTATTTTTTTCTATTCTGTTTGATTCCTTTGTTTCATTATATTTATTCTGTTCTATTCTATTCTTTTCTATTCTTTTATTTTCTATTCTTTTCTGTTTTATTATATTCCTTTATTATCTATTCCATTAGTATTCTTTTCTATTCTTGTATTTTCTATTCTCTGTTTTATTCTTTTATATTCTGTATTCTATTCTGTTCTAGTCTATTCTTTTCTATTCTATTCTATAAAGCAGCGTAAATAGGAATCATCATCTTATTTCACTTTTATACCATACTTTATTTATTGCAATGTTTTCATTTCAAATTAATTTCCAAATTTTAATTAATTTTTTAATTCAAAATTACTTGTTTGAAATACAAACAATTGTTTGTTTTTAATTCAGTTTTGAATATTATTGTTTTTGAATTTAAATTCATTTTAAAATTCAAATTTGTATACTTTGTTTTGTCATACTAATTGCGAATTCAATTAAATTAGTTTCTATTGTGATTAGGAAATTCAGACACTTTCGAATCTCCGGATAATTAAAATTTACTCCGAATTTTGATTTGTAACAAAACGAATTGCACATATCTAGTCATTGTCCTATTGAAGAGATTTCCCTTCACTTTTCCCATTCTATTCTATTTTATTCTACTGTATTCCTTTATTTTCTATTCTATGCTGTTTTATTCTTTTCTATTCTATTCTATTCTTTTCTATTCCATTCTATAAAGCAGCCTAAGTGGGAATCATTATCTTATATAACTTTTTATACCTGTATTTGTTGCAATCTGTTTCCATTTCGAATTCAAATTCATTTTCAAATTAATTTCCAAGTTTGAATTAATTGTTTAATTCAAATTAATTTTCAAATTCAAATTTGGACAATTTGTTTTGTTATACTGTATTTCTGATTTGTTGAAATCTATTACTATTGTGAATCAGAAATTCAGATACATCTGAATCTGCAAATAATAAAATTATTGTCTGAATTTTGATTCACTTGTCCCATAGCCCCAATAGGAAGTGAGAGGAAATCCCTCCAAACTTAGGGAAATCTGTAGTAATCACCAGGGTGACCAGAACTGGTGTTACCATTGGAAAATTTCCCCTCTATTCCTTTACTGTTAAACACTCAAAATTTGGGATTCTCTTTCACTTTCAGTGATAATGGTCCCTGGGACAAACAGAAGGTGAATCTCCCTAACAGGGACACAGGCAGCAATAAAAACTTGACAGAGGTTCTAATTCTTCTCCACTCAATCCAAAATAAAAAAAAAATGTTTTGTCATCGTTATACTTTCATATGGCCCTAGCCCTCTAAATTACCACCAGAATATCCCTATCAAAGCACATTTTTGGAATTGCGCCCGTCTACTTTTCAACATGGTAATGGCCCATAAGGGGGGAATGGGGAAACCACCAATACCTGATTAAGGCACAAGCCCTGGCTCTTGGAAGCTGCTGACTGCAGTGTCAGAAATACAAGTATATATGTGTATACAGTATGTTAAACCAGTAATCAGAAATGCTTTAGCTTCATTTAAATGTTTAGTGTACATAACCTTTTCTACAACCTCCCTGCCAAAGCATCTTATTTTGATGCTGGCCTAAGTGTCCAGTCATACCGGAGCGATTTCAGGTGCAATTTGGGAATTTAAATCGTAACTAATGAATGTAAATGTCAGTGTCTTAACATATGCGATTTGCTGCAGCGTGATCTCTAACGTAGTTCTTGCATTACTTTTTCTGAGTTTTTTGCGATTTCACATATATAGAATATAATCAATATTGCACTGCAAATACCAAGAAATCATTGAAGATCTTCACAAGTAGCAATAAAGTCTTCAAAAATCACCCCTGAAGTCACGCTGAAATTGCACACAAATTGTATGATTTTAAATCGCAGAGGTGTGACCGGTGACCAAATGTGAACTCAACGGTCAGCGTCTGAAATTGTGGATGGGTTTTCTATTAAAGTAAATGGAGGTTGCAGAGTGAAGTTTTCAGGACAGCAATGCTGTAGATAAGTATAATACAGTGAGGAACAGAAGTATTTGAACACCCTGCGATTTTGCAAGTTCTCCCACTTAGAAATCATGGAGGGGTCTGAAATTCACAATGTAGGTGCATTCCCACTCAGAGACAGAATTAAAAAAAAAAAATTTCAGGAAATCACATTGTATGATTTTTAAAGAATTTATTTGTCTTGCAATGCTGAACATAAGTATTTGAACACCTGAGAAACAGCAAGAATTTTGGCTCTCAAAGCCCTGTTACTGTGCCTTTAAAAAGTCCACCTCTACTCCACTCATTAATCTAACTTAGTAGCACCTGTCTGAGCTCTTTAAAGACACCTGTCCACCCCACAGTCAGTCAGACACCAACTACTACCATGGGCAAGACCAAAGAGCTGTCAAAAGACACCAGAGACAAAATTGTGGACCTCCACAAGGCTGGAAAGGGCTACGGACAATTGCCAAGCAGCTTAGTGAAAATAGATCAACTGTTGGAGCAATTGTTAGAAAATGGAAGAGGCTAAAGACGACTGTCAGTCTCCCTCGGACTGGGGCTCCATGCAAGATCTCACCTCGTGGGGTATCACTGATGATAAGAAAGGTGAGGAATCAGCCCAGAACTACAAGGGAGGAGCTGGTCAATGACATGAAGAGAGCTGGGACCACAGTTTCAAAGGTCACTGTCGGTAGAACACTACGCCGTCATGGTTTCAAATCATGCATTGCACGGAAGGTTCCCCTGCTCGAGTGATCACATGTCCAGGCCCGTCTGAAGTTTGCCAATGACCATCTGGATGATCCAGAGGAGGCATGGGAGAAAGTCATGTGGTCAGATGAGACCAAAGAAGAACTTTCTGGTCTAAACTTCACTCGTCGTCTTTGGAGGAAAAAGAAGGATGAGTTGCATCCCAAGAACACATTCCCTACTGTGAAGCATGGGGGTGGCAACATCATGCTTTGGGGGTGATTTTCTGCGAAGGGGACAGGACGACTGCACTGTGTTAAGGAGAGGATGAATGGGGCCATTTATTGTGAGATTTTGAGCAACAACCTCCTTCCCTCAGTCAGAGCATTGAAGATGGGTCGTGGCTGGGTCTTCCAACATGACAACGACCCGAAGCACACAGCCAGGATAACCAAGGAGTGGCTCCGTAAGAAGCATATCAAGGTTCTGGAATGGCGTAGCCAGTCTCCAGACCTAAATCCAATAGAACATCTTTGGAGGGAGCTGAAACTCCATGTTGCTCAGCGACAGCCCTGAAACCTGACAGATCTAGAGGAGATCTGTGTGGAGGAGTGGGCCAAAATCCCTGTTGCAGTGTGTGCAAACCTGGTCAAGAACTACAGGAAACGTTTGACCTCTGTAATTGCAAACAAAGGCTTCTGTACCAAATATTAACACTGATTTTCTCAGGTGTTCAAATACTTATGTTCAGCAGTGCAAGACAAATAAATTCTTTAAAAATCATACAATGTGATTTCGTGAATTGTTTTTTAAATTCTGTCTCTCAGAGTGGGAATGCACCTACAATGTGAATTTCAGACC